CGTACGAGAGTACCACGTGTACTTAGAGGCTGAATTTAAAATCTTTACGTCACATTTGTGTGGGGAACATCTCATTAAGATTTTAATCATTCGGCTTCTCAGGTTTACGAGTTAGCAATTTTCACACCATCAGCTGTGCGTGGAGATTGCTACTGTGGTTCTGCGGTAGCACCTGGCTGGGAACTTACTGGCAAAATTCTAGCGCCGAAGCGTTCTTGGTTGTAGAGTTGAATAACCCGACAGAGGCACACACACAAGCACACACCGAAACATACTCCAACACGCACACCATGGGTCGTCACAATAGGAGTTTTTACGCGTTTTTGCATACATGCAAATTGCAAAAACGCATATTGGGAAGATACTGTGTGTGTGTGTATGTGTTCGCACTTTTTGTCACCCACTTTCAACCTGAGAATCAGAAAAGCTAGAAGGCTGGAACTTTGGGAGTATGTGCCCATACCATGCGCGACCCTCCCGTTTTACCTTCATCCCCCGTGGACGCTTGTTGCCAAGTACGGGCACTTTCAAAAAATATGCAAATTTTTTGGCGGAAAAGGGATCTCGGGGACCAGACAAGGTAAGGGGCTGAAACTTTGTAGGGATATTCCCTATGCATGTACTAGCTAAAGTTCTCAAATTCAGCCCCAGTTATGCGTGGTAGTCACGTAAGGGCGTATGAAAGTTTTAGGGGGAAAACTGCTAACTCGGGTACCAGGGAAGCTGGAAAGCTGAAATTTTGAAGGAATGTTCCCTGTCCAAGTACAACTTAAGTGTTTCAAATTCAGCCTTGAGGTATGCATAATTCTTTCGTATGGACACTTAAAAGTCTTGACGAAGAAATTTCTCATTGAACAACTAGGTTACTTTTAAAGAACGACTACTAAATGGAAATTGTACATTTACTTTGCATAATTTATGCTGATTTATGCTAGTGACCGCAAAGGGTAGGTGTAAAGCAACAGCCACTCATGCAGTTAACGACCTCGGTAATTCAAGACCGGTACAAAAACGCATGATCGCACGGGCCGCCCTCTATGTTCCAGCCTGGATTGTATTTGCATATAATGCAAAAGCGCACAAAAATGTGTATTTGTCAATGCATGGGATTCCGGAAGACAAGAATTATGAAACCCGCATGATGCACTCGCTTCTGAGTTTGTGT